CAGGCAGTTCCTGCCCTACAGCTCCTACCATCTAACCAGGTGATGAGGGACCACATGGGGAGCACAAGGTGACACATGTCCCGGGCAGCAGACCCAGCTCAGCAGTTGCCTAGCCATAGTCGAGTGTGGTGTAGGCCTCATGGCGGAGGCAAGCTGTAAGAAGGGCCAGCAGAGATGGCTCCAGAGAAGCCAGGTGAGAAAGGCAGTGCGTTAAAGACACTGGTTAGGCTGTCTCCCGCTCACACCTACCTGCCTTATAGTTTTTTCTTTCCAGTGATTCAAGAAAAAAAATTCTTTTTTTGAGTCTTTGCTGGTGGGTTTCAAGTGACCCCAGGACACTCGGGGGTGGCGTAAAGTCCCGCCTGGCTTACAAGATCTCTGTCAGGTTAGAAGAGCGTAACTCTGCCACTGCGTTGCGCCTAGTGGGTAGAGGAGATGGGTGGGCGGAAAAATTGCAACCTCAAATCCCAAGCCAGCACGGAGGAGGTGGGGATGTGGAGCAGTGCTGAGGGGGTTTTAATGCCCAGTGTGTGTCATTTGCTTGCTCTACTGGTGGATTTACAGTTGTGGGGGCTCTGTCAAAACACACGGCGCACTCGGGTAAACTCAGGTCTGTTTAAAAACCAGTTTAGTCAAACCTGGGTGAGCCCCAGTGTGCGCACACTGATGCGAGCTTAAAACTGGGTATTTCAGTTTAGCTTGTGCCTGGAAATTTACCACTTCAGGCTAACTTGTTAGAAACAGGATTAAATTGACATTTTTGTCCACACACGGTTTGGCATCGGTTTCACTTGCTTTGCTTGAAATTGTTCTGTGAGGTAAACCTGAGCAGCTGTGTGTGTCATCCAGGCCTGAGCTGGATTCCTGAGCCCCTCTTCCTGGCCCCAAGGCAGAGGCTGGACTTTCCTGTAGCAGCATTCGAGCTAGTGCAGTCGGGTTACTTGCTGAGGAAAGTTTAATGTGAGGCTAGTCTCTAAAATGTGCTTGGGAGCCCTGATGAAATGGGTTCGGTCTAGCTGTGAAACGGCTCTTCCAGCTGTCCCTCCACACACTCCCCTCTTGGCGCTGACGGTCCGGCTGGAATACAGGCTCTGCAGCCCTGATTCTGCCCCCAATAGGCCTCTGCAACCTCATTGTCAAAGACCGGGCACCCCCAGTTTGCAAACTGGTTCCACAGCAGTTGCTGAGGGCCTGACCTAGCCTGGCCTGCAGAGCCTCTGTTGCTGGTGGTGTTGAGTGGGATGGAAGGAGCCCAGCTTGCCTGTCAGGGGGCTGTGGGGATCAGGAAAGCATTTTCACTCCCAGCTCGCTGCTTGCACAGGTGGAGGAGTGAGGTTTCACCTGCCTTGGAAGGCATCAGGGATTGGACACCACAGGATGCTCCACTGATCTAGTTTGGCATATTGCAAAGGGGGAAAGACGTGCAATGTATAACGCTGCAGTGTGTATGAGGCTGTGCTGTGGGACCCCGATCCCAGGGGCAGGCTTCTCTTTATTCTGAAGGAAAGAAACTGCGGTGCTTTGGTCTCATCCGGGACCCCTGCAGCGTGCTGCCATCTAGCTCCAATTGTGAGCGATCCCCACAGCCCCTTTGCACGGCCCTGCTCTTGTCTTGTTGTGACATTACTGAGGGCACGTGGGATCCACCCTGCAGCTTGGTCCCCTGGGGACTTGCTCTGTGATTGCTAGCTGTCTCTGCGCACATCCTTGCTGGGTGCCAATGGGCTGGTGTCTCTTCACGGAGTGTGTTTTTCTTGGCATGTTGGCTCTCAGAGGCTGCGTGCCCGGGGGCCCTTGCAGGCTGTGCTGGCTTGTTGGTGGTGCTGGGGTGTGTTACGTGCTGCTCTCTTTACAAGGCTGGCTGCTGGCGGGAAATGTCAAAGGTGGGGAGGGAAATGGCCTGGGGCCACATATGGCTCTGAGAGTTGCTGAACTTGCCTTGTGTCCATGGATGAATCGCTGACCTGGCAGGTCGTCCTCCCCAGTGAGGTGGGCTCTAGTGGATTAAAGCAGTGGGGGCTGGGAGTCAGGACTCCTGGGTTCTGTCTCTATCTCTGGGAGGGGAGTGGGGTCTAGTGAGTTGGAACGGAGAGAAGGGGGGCTGGATGCTGTCCCCAGCTATAGGAGCAGAATTGGGGTCTAGTAGGTTAGAGCAGGGGGCGGGGAGTCCGGACTCCTGGGTTCTATTTCCTGCTCTGGGAGGAAATGTAGCCCAGTGGCTAGGACGGGTGTGCAGCCACTGGGTTTTATTTCAAACTCTGCCACTCAATCACTGTGTGATCTTGGGTCCTGTCACTTAACCGATCAGTGCCTCAGTTCCCCATCTGTAAAGTGGGGCTATGGACAACACCCTGGGTCATGGGGACAGTGGGGGCTGTCCCTGCCACCTGCTCTCACTGTATCCTGTCTCGGCAAAGTGGACTGGTAACAGCTTGGTCCCTGGTCGCTTTACGGCCCCCTCCCATTCCCTAGCTTCTCGGGACCTCAGTGGTCCTGCCGGAGCTGCCCTGGAAGGAGAGCTCCCAGCCAGCACTCTGGTTCAGGGCTGGCTCGGAGAGGCTTATGCAGCTTCTCATGGGACATTCCAGCCTGTTTGTTTCTCATGGCTGTCATCCAGTGGCCTTTTTATTAAGGAAAACACAGATGTCACTTGAGCCTTGAGAATGAGGGCGACCCGTTAGCCATCCCCGCTATGTCGGCCCTCCAGAGCCTATTTCCGTCCTTCCTGTTCAAGGCGGCCGAAGCCTGGGATGGTTTTGAGCACCTGCTCCGTTTATTCCCCTGATTGGCTCACCTCCCAGCCCCCTTTTATTAGGGGACTGGGTGCTTAGCCAGCTTCATACCTGACTCTGCTGCCCTATGCGAGAGGTGAGTTCTGAACGAACCCTTCGCCTGCTGCTCATCCCTGCCGCTGGGGGTCGTTCCTGTGTCCTCTGTCTCCTAGCGCCCAGCCGAGTTCCCAAAACATTGGCCGAGGGAGAGGCAGGTCAGATTTTAATAGCAGAAGAGCGTGGCTCTTGGAGGAAGACAAACCGCCGACACCCAATGGGGAGGCTTGGGCAGGGAGGTGGAAAACGGGGAGGAATGCCGGGAGGGGCTTGCAGGGGCCCCGTGCCAACAGGAGCAAAGCGGGAAGGAGACGCCGGGGAGGTTGTCCGGGCGCTTGGCCCAGGGTAGGTTTTTCCTGGTGTGGTTGGCTTTTTAATGAGGGTTTGGCCAAAAAGCCTGGCTGCTCCTGTGTCTGGGAGCCCATCCCCTGCTCTCTGCCAGTTCAGGCCCTGCAGGCGTTAGTGTCGGTGTTAGCACCAGGGTGGGCCACCGGAAGAGCAGGGGTCTCTCGGGCAGGGTCCGTTGCTGCCTAACAAGCACTGTGGTGGGGGTGACTGTGGTGTTCGAGCCCAGGCAGGGTCTGTGCCCGCTTGCTTTGCAGCTGTTCTGGCCCAGGGGGGAAGACGAGCAAAGCCAGCTCTCCTGTGTTGCTCTGCCTGGAGCTGTGTCCGGGAGGCCTAGCAGCGAGTGCTTAGCAGAGCCCAGGGGTCAGCACAGCGTGGGTGAATCCCCCCCCCCCGAGCAATGTGTCATGTTAGCTCTCCCCACAGCCAGGCTGTTCCGGCCGGGGGCTCCCCCGCCTTCGCAGGCAGTTGCTCGTTGTTTGGTTATAAATGGCTCCCACTGTCCGCACAGCTGTTCCTTTTGTTTGGCTGGTGGGTGGGAACATTTGGCTATATACCCCCCCCATCACGCCGGCTTCCTGCCTGTCCAGGGAGCTGTATTACAGGGAGGGGATGGTTAGCCCAGTGCCGGTCGCTCTGAGCATGGGGCAGAGTCCCACAAGCATCAACACTCGCTGACAGTAACGTCATGCAGGTAAATGCAGTCAGGACCTGTAGGGGTGCCCAGGTCGCCCGGGAGCCAGCTGGGGAACCAGCCATGATGCCAGGGGAAGCAAATAGATGCTGATCCCGTGAGCTGCAGCCTCAGCCCCCATAGTGCCCAGCACAGGGGCAGGGTCTGTACCTGGGGAGTGTGAGCGCTGCACAGAACCTGTCCCAAGACCATGGCAGGCAGGCCTGAGCTAGCAAGGGGTGTCGTGGCCAGGCAGAAGGGAGAGCGTCTTGGCAGAGCTCTAGCACAAAGGGCGAGAAAAGTCAGGCCAGGCCTGCTGGCCCTGGGATAGATAGGGAAGGGCAGCACCGGGCCTGGTGCTGAAATCCCTTTGCAGCTCAGTTCTGTAATGCTGTTGGCCGCTTCAGCCGCCGAGACCCTGCTTGGTGCCTGCTCCCCTGGGATCAAGGGCAGCATGTGGCCTACAGGGTGGAGCTGGCATGTCTGCGCTGGGGTTGGGAGAAGAGTCCCAGGCCATCCAATCTGGTCTCCAAGGCCAGGTCCTGATGTAAGGGCTGGAGGGGAAGCGTTTCCTCTGTTGGGAGGCTCTCCGGCAATGGGAGGCAGAGGTGTGGAACCAACACAGTGTCTGCCTTGGCGGCTCCTTCACCCTTGGGAGTTGGTGTTGTGGTGAAAAGGCAGAGCCCTGCCATGCTCAGAGCCCTGCTTTGCCCATTGCTGGGGGAGAGCATGTGGGGACTTGGGGCCGGTTTCACCGCTCTGGGCTGTGCCTGTCTGGGTCTGGCGAACCCAGGTGTGCCGAGGGGCCTCCTGGGCTGGCAGAGGGATGCGCCTCTCCTTGCCAAGGCTGGAGTGGTGCTGAAATGCACCAGGCCTTGCAGAGCAATGACCAATGGAGCATCCAGCCCAGCTCAGTCTGACGCCCCTTTCTGCTCCGCCCAGATCGATTACGAGCTCTCCCCGGATGAGCGGCGCAAGGAGATGGGCGACGAGATCATCCGAAGGTTCTTTAAAAGCGAGGTGAGTCTGTGCCCGGTCCCCCACGTGCCCTCCGAGCGTGAGCACAAGGGAAGGAGACAGGCAGAGGCTGGCCAGAGGCAAGTGTGTCTGTGAGGGGAGGGTGCCCCTTGCTGGCAGCATGGAGAAGATGCAGGTCTGCGTCCCTGCCGGAGATCAGGGTTTCAGCTTCACTTTCTCTCACACTGCTCTTGCTGGGCTAGACAAGGTGCTAGGAGCCTAGTAAGGCCCTGGACTGCCTAGGGCTGGGCAAGGGAGCTTGGGATCTCCCATGATTCCTACCCAAGAATCAATCGGGTAAGTGGAAAACACCCAGGTGGGGAGCTGGCTGGGCTTGGGGACATCAGCCAGGATTCAGACCTGCCGTGCTCTCCTTTCGCCTCAGTCTTCAGACTACATGCCGGAAATCAGCCAGGCCCTCATGAACCAGTGCATGGAGAACCTGCAGAAAAGTGCCTGTAAAGACCTCTTCAGCAGCTGCCTGCAGTGAGTACTGGGCCTGGCCTTTAGCGGTGCTACGCATGATATAGTGTGGCCATGATTCATGGGGCTGGAGAGGGGTCCTCCAGTGGGACAGCCGGGAGAGCAGAGCTAACGTCCCTTTCTCTCCCCCAGCCCTATGCACGAGTACCTGAGCGGCGCACCCTTCGCCGACTATCGGGACAGCATGTATTTCGACCGGTTCCTGCAGTGGAAGTACTTGGAAAGGTGAGTGAGGGCTGCCCGGCCGAGCCTGTCTCCGGGCTGCATTCGACTGAGCTGAACTGGGGTCTCATGGGCCTTAAACACGCCTCGTGGCTTTATCGTTTCAGGCAGTCGGTGACCAAGGACACCTTCCGGCAATACCGGATCCTGGGCAAGGGGGGCTTTGGAGAGGTAGGGCTGTGCTGCCGGAGAGGGGGGCTGGGCAAGGGCTGGTTTCCCTGGTGTGTGGCACAGGCTCTCTAGCCTCTGTGTAAAATAATCCCCTTTGATGGCAGCACCAGCCTGGGCAATGCTGCTGGCGGGTGAGGCCCTGGTCTCCAAGCACTGCTAGCCCCAGGAGCACTGGGCAGGGGCCTGTCTGCCAGGCTGAGGGGGGCCTCGCCCAGAAATGAGGTCATTCAGGCTCTGAGAGGCCAGTATGTGAGCACAGCCCCGTGGTGAGGGATGGGCACAAGGGCATTGTCTGTCCCCACCCTCCATGGAGGAGTCTGGGGCTAGCCGATGGGGACGTGCAGATGGGCCCTGCTGGCTGGCTCCTGGGCTGGCTTTGTGTGGCAGGGGGGCTGCTTGGGGCTGGCTGAGTTGAGAGGCCAGACACAGAGGAGCTTTGTAAAGACAATTGGAGCAGATAAATCAGTTTGCTGCCGGCCAGGAAACCCCACAATCCCCTGGGGGAAGCCCCCTTGCCTCTCGCCCAGACTGGATCAGGAAGCCAGGTCATTGTCCAAGACTCCGTTCTCCTGATGGCTCTGGACAGAGATGTGGCTTTGGTCATGCCTGGAAGGATAATCCCAGGCCCTTGGCCCAGGGCTCTCCTCCAGCTAGTCCAGTCCCTTCTCCCAAGCACCAGGCGCTGCCTTTCCTGGCCTCCTCACGCCGTGCTGTGTGCATGCCTCCAGGTCTGTGCCTGCCAGGTACGAGCAACAGGCAAGATGTACGCCTGCAAGAAGCTGGAGAAGAAGCGGATCAAGAAGCGGAAAGGGGAGGCCATGGCCCTGAACGAGAAGCAGATCCTGGAGAAAGTCAACAGCAGGTTTGTGGTGAGTGTCACTCTCCCAGCCCTGCCTGGTGCTGCTGCTTGCTCCCTCCTCTGGCTCCGGGACAGTTTGAGAGCCCTTCTCCCTGGAGCTGGCCATTGGGGGGGACCCCGCTGGGTGTTAGTGGGATGGATACATCCCACTATTCATCACGTGGGTTGGGACTGGTGGTGTTTGTAAAGGGGTGGCTGGGTTTGAAGTGAAGCACGCAGAACAGGGTGCCATGGGGACCCAGCTGGCATGCTCCCCTGCGCCCTCCGGTCCGTACAACCTGATGCAGCCATGGCGACAGCTGTTTGAGTCCTGGCTGTGTCAAGGGTGCCGGCTCTGATGCTGCCTGGTGGGGGCGGGGTGCTCTCGCAGGTCAGCCTGGCCTACGCCTACGAGACAAAGGACGCGCTCTGCCTGGTGCTGACCATCATGAATGGGGGCGACCTCAAGTTCCACATCTACAACATGGGCAACCCCGGCTTCGAGGACGAACGCGTCATCTTCTACGCCGCCGAGCTCTGCTGCGGGTTGCAGCACCTGCACCAGGAGGGCATTGTCTACAGGTGAGCGGGCCTGACTCGGGCCATCCATGGATCCCCACAAGAGCTGTGCAGTGCCGGTGTCCGCCTCCAGGCGGTGCCCGGGCTGTGGGGTCGGGAGCATGCCCTGTCCCGCTACTGAGCACTTGCTCACCCAGGGAGGAGATGGTCCCCGAGTGAGTCCGTCCCTCTCTCCACATGCTAGGGGCTGGGCAGGATCGCTCCCTACAGGGCACCTCCTGTTTGGGCAGGCACTCGGGGAGTTCTGTGTGCCTGGCCCCGGGCCTCCCCTTCCCTGCGCTGCTCTGCGCCTGTCCTTTCAGGCTCTGCACGCTGCCGGGCCATGGCTTTCCCCAGGCCTCGGGGCTGTGCTCCTGGTACAAGATGCTGGGCCATGTCCTCCCTCTTCACTGACTAGGATCTAGCCCATCCTCACGGCCTGGGCCGTGAGACCCAGCTCCCACACCACGCTGACCAGCAGTGTCCGAGTGGCTCACTGGGTCCCCCAGCGCACTCAGCTGAGCTAGTGAGCCCCAGCGGGCATGCGCTGCAAGGCAGAACCAGGGAGCACGTGCGGACGTAGCCAAGCCTGGGCTGTCCCGGTTGTCTCATTCTGAGCCGGGCCTGTCTCTCCTCCCCAGGGATCTGAAGCCGGAGAACATCCTCCTGGATGATGACGGTGAGTGGGGAATGCCCAGGGGGAGCTGCCGGTGTCTACATGGCCCCTTCCCAGGCTGCTGGGAGCGGGAGCCCAGCTGGCCCCTCCTGGCTGCTGCGTGGCTCTGACTCTCTTCACTTCCACCCAGGCTGGCCCCAGCCCTGAGCCACCTCCCAGGGCAGGGGACGGGCTCCCTCCTGCCCCGGCTGGTACGGTTCACCCCACGAGCTGGGCTCAGCAGAGCGCCAGCTGGAGGGGGGCGCCCAAGACGGAGCAGCCCGGGAATCCACGTTCATGTCAGGGTGAAGGGGGAGACTCCTGCTGTGGGGGGGGATGGCTTCAGGCTCTGGGTATCAGACCCGAGATGCCCCTCTGAGAATAGTGTCTGCGCCACACAAGGGGGTGCTGAGCTGGAATTCCCCACCCAGCCCTGGGTTGCTGCTCTCACCCCAGAGGTGGCTGCATTTCATTGTTGCTGAGGGTAGAGGTGGTGCCATGCTCTGGGATGGGAGGGGACGATCTGCCTCCTTTGGGAGAGACGTCGCATGCATTGCCTTGCATCTGAGGTCAGTGGCTCCCTCTGTTCCCCTCTGGGATGATTTTCCCTAAACCCATCTCCTTAGACTAGCCCAAGCAGCTGATGCCTCAGTCCCCGAAGGGCTGCCTGCTGAAGGGAGGCGGCAGGCCCATGGAGCTGGGAACCCCAGATGGAGTGGGGGTAGTGGGCAGTCCCACCACTGAGCCTTCTGATTTCCCTCCCGCGGCAGGACACATTCGGATCTCGGACCTGGGGCTGGCCATTAAGATTCCGGAGGGCGAGATGATCCGTGGCCGCGTCGGGACCGTTGGCTACATGGGTAGGTGTCGGGGCTGCCATTGCCGGGGGCAGGGGGGCAGCTGGAACCCAGAGCACTGGGCCAGGTGCTGGTGTCAAGGGGGAAGCCGCTAGGCAGGACGGCTGTGCTCTGCGGCGGGGCCTTTCTCCCACCTGTGGGCAGCCTGGTCTCGGGGCCTGGCTGGGAGCTGGTGGGTGATTCCGAATGGGGTTTGTTTGAGGGCTGCCCCCTGCTCTCGCCCCGCCAGCTCCGGAGGTGATTAACAACAAGCGCTACACCTTCAGCCCAGACTGGTGGGGGCTGGGCTGCCTAATCTATGAGATGATCGAGGGGCAGTCGCCGTTCCGCGCCCGCAAGGAGAGGGTGAAGCGGGAGGAGGTGGAGAAGCGGGTGCAGGAGGAGCAGGAGCTGTATTCCGACAAGTTCACCGAGGACACCAAGGCCATCTGCAAGATGGTGAGTTGGCAGCTGGAGCCGCCGGGCCCTGCGCCCATCCTATAAGGCCTGTCTGTCCGCAGTGGGGGCCGGCGCCTGCAGCAGGGGTGCCCAGGCCTGCTCCGCTCAGGGTTTCTGTGTATGTGACTCCTCCCTGACCCCACAGGCCCACAGTCTAGAGCCTGCTGCTGCTCTCAGCTGCAGACACTACCCAGCTTCTAGCTCTGGGGAAGAGGGGAAGCGCTGAGAGGAAATCCCACGATTCTGCTGACCCACCCCCTGGGATAAACAGCGTTGGGTCAAATTCTTCCCTCGACCAGGAGGTGGGTTGGCTACAGCTGTGGGAGGACGTCGCTGCTGCGTTCGACGTGTGGACACAGCCCCAGCCCCTCTGTGAATGGAGGGCGATGAGTCTCTTGTCCGTGCAGCGTGAGCTCACCAGGCAGGGACCATCTCACTGGGGACAGCGCCCGGCACGCTGGGGCTCTGGGCTCATTGGGGTCTGGGGGTGCCACTGTCCGTACTAAGCTCCTCCCCACCCCCAGTGCTCTCCTGTGCACCCGGCTGTGGGGGCAGGGCATGCCCGCTCTATCTAGCCCGCTGCACTGCGTTCAGTCTGCATCACATCCCCTCCCCTTCCCCCCCCCCCCCCCGGTGTCGACCACTCGGGCCTTGGTCCCTCGTCCTCCCCACGCTCCTGACCGAAGGACCCGAAGCAGCGACT